CGTTTTTTGGTGTGTTTTAGGCTGGCTTTGGTGCTAAGGCAAAGAATCTACTGCAGCTCAGAACAGAATACAGAGGAGTGTCATGGAGGTGAGACGGTCTGCATTTTTATGATGAGTTTACCCCCAAAAATCTCAAAACCCAATGCCAGAGAACACACAGGAAGTCAGCCATTTTACTTTGAAAATTATATTTTCAGCTCATTTCGGTTTATTTCCAGGTGTCCTTTTAAGGAAGACTACATTTTATTTTGATTTACTTTGAAAAGTCAGCCCTCACAGCCAAAATCACTTAAATACATGAAATTTAGTAGCTGCGTTGCTCATGAGTAAACACACAAAAATCGCTGCTGGCATCCGTAATTTACATCACGTTTTCTTTCACCCCCGTAGCATCGGAGGCGATAAAAGCCTGGAGACTGTTACCACGCTAGCCAGTAAGACATCATGCCTCTGCTTTACGATGCAACACTGACACCGCGAGGAGTCAGAGATGAGCCCATGTTGCGCTTTTGTCTCCCAGACATCCTCCGGAAGTTCAATCCAGACCTTAAAGGAGCATCAAAAGGCCAAGGGAAGAAGAAGAGCGGCTTCAACATGTCAATATCAGGAGCCAAAATCTCGTCAGTTCATCTTTTTTTTTTTTTTTTTTTTAATTCTTTCTTCATTCGTTTGTGTATTGCACACATTGTAATGACAATAAAATTGCTTTCAATACAGGGGAATTCCAGGACAAGTCCGACGCCTGATTGAAGTGATGAAAAACGACACTGTGAGTTTTATATTAGATCGTAAAATACAAGGAATACTTGAAATACATTTTTAAAATATTTATGAAACATTTTAAAAATCACAATTAACACAATGATTATGGAGATTTATATTTTGAACGTACATATCATTGTAAAATACATTTTGAAATATTCATTGAAAAAAAAATCACCACAAAATATATGGAGTGTTTGCATGAGGAATATATATTATATTTCTAAATTAGGTAAAATTCATATTTCAAAAGCTCACACTAGTTCCATATTTGAAGAATATATAAAGTATAATAGTCTCATATAGTAGTTTTAAAAATATTAAATAATTAAATATTTGACACCCCCAAAAATTTATTTGTGCCTGAATTTTTATTTTTAGCTTAAAATGAATTTCGGAATATTTTAAAATAACCCTTTATTTCTTTTTTTCTTATTTTAATCTTTCCCTATGGACCCAGACAGTGGACTTTGCCAACGACTGGAAGCTGGTGACTCTCTTCATTGGTGGCAATGACCTCTGTCAATTCTGCAATGACAGAGTGAGTTGCTTTTAAAAGAAAGACGTCATCACAGGAAGTACATTAGCCCCTTCTTCCCCCTACACCTCCTACCCCCCACCTTTTTATTTTCCACACAGCTCATTGGTGCTGTGAGATGATATCACTCACCGAAGCAACTCAATCGGAATAATGGCGCTGTTGTGACTCAGCTGCCTTCAATAATGTTTTGATTGTGCCACAGTGAGACATGAGCAGACACACCGTCCACTGAGTGCTTGCTTCTGTTCTGTCGCCTCCAAAACAACCGCCCCACACCCACCACCCTCATCTTTCACTCTCCATTTGCATTCAGCATATCATAAGAAGCTTGTTTGTTTATGGTTACGAAAACTGGAAAACACAGTGGCGTCCTCTCAAGTAAGAGCGGAGATTGTATAGAGCAGCACAGAATGCAGTACAATCCAGTGGTAGCCGACTTTCAAGCCGTCGCACAGCCTTTTTTTTTTTTTTTTTGTCCTGAGTTGGAAGCAAATATTTCAGTTTAGAGTGATAGATGGTGGCAGTAACTTCAGAAAAAGCAGCAGAAAAAAAAATCTCCTAGCTTAAAGCTAACACAATGCAAAACGCTATGGACAGGCTAATGGAACTAGCATCGTTGTTTGAACACAAACACGTAAACAGACTATAGAACAATACTCACAGGCATATGCCCTTTGTTCTCTGCGAAAAATGTATTACTGCCTCTTACTGTACGTTTATTATGTTAAGATTATACTCGTGGCCAAGATGCGCACACCAGAAGGCGCCTCACAAAAACCTTGAGCCACATGTTGCATCAGCATTTTATCTGATCACATTATCATTACAGTCAACAAAAGTTTTATCCACAGGCCTCTTTGTCACCTCAGAACTACAGCCATCACTTGATGGCTAGCTTGGACATGTTGTACGAAGAGGTGAGTTGAGATGCTAAAACAACATGCTGTGCTAAAAATATGGCGTAGCTAACAATGGTGCACACAACCCCTTTAGGTACCCAGGACCATCGTCAACATTCTGGAAATCCTGCAGATGGAAGGCCTGCGTAGGATCAAGAAGGACAGTCTCGGGTGCAACGTGATACAACCGTATGCTCGTCATATCAACTACTCTGCGTTACATATCGAAATCATTGGTTGGTTACTGAACTGGGCTAAGTGTATGTGTTCTTTGTCTTAACTGTTTTGTCTTCAGATTGGCGTGCCCGTGCTTCTTATTACCAGGGGACGACTCTTTGGAGCTGGCTGAAGCCAAAAGGATCAATCGTGAAGTGCAGGTAAGATCTGGGTTTTTTGTTTTGTTTGTTTTTCTGTGTGATTCATGAATGATGATGTGGGGTGGGCAAGCAGAAATGAAAAATGGATGGAAGGAGGCAAAGCAAAACGGTTAATTTGTCATTTCTCCTCCAGATTGAGACGGAGAGAGTGGCATACAGCGGTCGCTATGACGACAGGGAAGACTTTGCCGTGGTTGTGCAACCCTTCCTCAGAAACTCCATTATGCCTTTGAATGCTGTAAGTCGCCTCCACACACATTAAGGACCTGCCACGTCATGAAAGATTTATGAATTTCATTTCATTTTTTTTTTTTCCTGACGACTTGTTACTTTTACTTTTGCATTTCAAAACAGGCTACATCCTACTTTGTCAAAATAGGCTAAAACATTCAAAATATGACTAATAGAAGCAATAACTTAGCTTCAGCTTATGATCAGAACAATTTTCTAAATTATGTCATTTTGGCTGAGATGTAGCTCACTTTTTTTTCTCTTCCTCAAGATGGCCGAAATGTTTTAGGAACAGGGTCACGTGCGTGTTGAGAAACTTCAGAGCATAATTACTACACGTCGTTGAGAGAAAATGCTACCAATAAATCCTGTCTCAGGACAACATTTATATGTAAACATGCACGCAAAGTACTTTTTTTTTTTTGCATGAATTATTTAAAGTTTCAAGGGGGCACAAAACTTCCTCCAATTTTTGTGACTACGGCTCCCTCTCATTTGCTTTCAACTCATCAGGACGGCCGACCCGACGTCACCTACTTCAGCGAGGACTGTTTCCACTTCAGCGAACGGGGACATGCCGACATGGCCGTGGCCATGTGGAATAACATGGTGAGTGAGGTGACATTTGATGGTGGAAAAGTGTAAAAGGAAGCTCAACCATTTTACTAATAAAAGCCAAAGTGCTCAAAGTATTCACACTCGCCTGTTGTAAAGTAGAAATGCAGATCCACAAAAAAAAAAAAAATGGTTTCTCACCAGTTGGAGCCTGTGGGCGAAAAGCAGACATACAACAATTTCACAGGTGGTAGAGATCGCATCAGGTGTCCCACTGAGGTAAGAAACTCATACATTTATAGGATAGATTTAAAAAGTCTACACAGCCCCGGTCAAGCACCAGATTTTTGTGAAATGTGAAACCAAGATCAAATAGATGTTCCAAGCTGTGACAAGTCAGTTGATTTTTTTTTTTTTTAATTTTGTGAGAGCACCAGTGAACATAAACAATAAAGTGGTTGCGGAAGTGTGCACACCCTCTTATAACTGGGGATGAGGCTGTGTTCAGAGTTAACCAATCCCATTCTAAAAGTCATGTTAACTGGGAGTCAGTGCACACCTGCCACCAGTCAAAGTGCCTCCGATTACTTTATTAACTTTATTTAGGGTTGTTCAGAGGGACATCATAAGAGTGCAGCTACATCATCAAAAGAACGTGAAAATTATTTTGCTTTTTTTTTTTTTATCATCACAAAAAACATGGCATTTGAACAGGGGTGCGTAGACTTATTTATATTGACAATACATCTCCCATACTGCAATCCCAGTGTGTCGTACATTGCAGGAGCATCCTTACATCTACACAAATGTGAACAGTGGAGCCAGTCTGCCTTCACCTCACTGCCCTGAGGGTGTCCCAGTATGGCTGGCCACGGTCCTCGCCGCCTCTGCCCTCCTTCTGGGCTGGGCCCTCACCTGGCTGATGCTCACCTGCAGAGCTAAGAGGAAGAAAAGGAGCATGACTTTTGCAACAACAGTAGAGATGAAGGCCTCTTTGTTTTAAAGTAGGGTTCGGCAAATTGAGTCCTGTGTGTATAGTATCTTTGTAAAGAAAGATATAGGGGCTGGGGGGGTTATGAGGTTATGATAAAACAAATGAATGTAAAATATTATTTATTTAAATGTTGAATTTCAATACTTTCAATGTGGTAGCAGGTCTCACAACTCATTGTAGAAACAACATTTTTTTTGATGAATATAGATTATTTATTTTAGTCATTATGCACACTAATTACACTATTCGTAAAAGTTCACTAGTATGTGATTTATATTTTATGATGTATTAATAGTTTTGCACTTGTCTTTTAAATGAGCATTTTGTTACACATTTTATTCAACTGGAAAACATAATTCTATTCATAAAGATTTTATATAATTCGTTATTTTGTATTTTACATTCCAATTTTTGTATGTTTTATACTTTCCAAAAATTGTCATGTCAATAAATTCTTAGTAAAGGACCCCGCCGGGTGACACGCGTGATTTTTTAATGTTTTACATATTAAAAGATTTTAAAATAGCACAAAGAGAATGACATTTTGATAATGACATTTTTTTTTAAAAGTAATGTGACTTCAAAGCAAAATTTGTCATGTTTAGTTAACTGCCTCATATGGCTACACTAGTGCCCCCGAGTGGACACCCAACGCACTGCTTCTTGCTCTCAAGCCCAGTACGACTCCCAGCAGAGCGTGAAGATGGCGGAGGGCGAATTGAACGTGGACAGCCTAATCTCTCGCCTTTTAGAAGGTGAGTAGAAACACCCACCGAGCGATCGCGATTTCCCGGCCCCGGTTTGGGTCATGTTCCCCGCGGGCTTGTTCCCTAATCCTCCGGAGTAGCCGCCTCGTTTTTACGTCGCCAAAATAGCAGCGGTGCTAACTGGCTAGCTCGTTAGCCTTGCGCTATCTCGAGCCCCTCAGTGTTTATAAACAGTCGGGCGGTGAACGCCTACGTTTAGGAACGCTAGCCTTGGTCGCGTACTTTACGACGTTCAAGCCCACTTTCTCGCTTATGTATTGCGTTATGAATATTACCCCAAAAATGACGCAGGTTGAATATTACGTTGGATCGAATAGGAGTGGCAGCTCTATGTATGTGGAAATGTCCCAAAACTCTCGAACTTGGTTTAGCTCGTCTTAATTTAATTCCTGGAACCCACTTTCTATTACGAACGTCCAAAGCTTCATCAACCTTTAGTTTGCAAACTTTTTAAACTCAAGGTTTCTGAAGAAAAAAGAAGAATTAAAACGTAGCTCTCCAAGTACCAGCATCATGGCTAACATTAAAATGCAGTAGTGTAGTAGGCCTAAGTGTTCATCAGAAACGAGGTTTTGTTTTTTACTGCGGTAGGTTGTCGCACAACCATTTTTTGGGGGGCTTGAGTTGCAAGCGGGAATTTCATTTTAAGTACACAAGACACTGGTAGTGAATGTCACAAATTACATTGTATTTTGGCCAGCCTGGAACTCACCATCAAGTATTATTCTGTCATAAATCGACGAGAACTCAGTCGCGAGAGCGGTAATCGATGACACATTTGACTGTCAATGAAGCTGTGATGGAGTGTCTTTCTGGCGTAAACATATGCGGACCTTCAAAGCAGACCAGAAACAGGTGAAAGTCATTGATAATTCTGCTCTGATGTTCATGCTGAGGGTTGGGCTGGAAATGTTGATCGCATCCTATTTTCAATGACAAAACAAATTGAAAACTTGGAAAAGGGGGTGAAGTGAAGCAGAAACCAGGCACAGTACATGACTAACGGCAAAAGTAACCGATATCCGGAAGAATCATAGCCAACCTAGCCCAATTACGCTAAAATAGCCGATTCACGACATGCCAAGAGTTCCTCCCTCCGGCGATTGAGCAGTCAGAGCCATTCAGGGCAAAATAACTACCGCACACAAATTAATTGAGGCGTTCCCAGTTGACTTTCTTGTCATGCTGAGTTTAAAACAAAGAGAATGACAGTGTCATTCTATCAGCCCGACTGATTTAATTGGTTGATATTAACAGTTTTAAAACTGGGAAAATGTGGTAGATTTTATAAGAGCTAATATCGTCCATTTTTTTTTTACATACACATTAAAAGATTACAACATAAGACAAAAATAATTTGGCTTTTTTTTTTTTTAATTTAATCGTGTGGATTGTGGTAGATGGAAAAAGTGGACGTTTTGGCTAACTGCTGCCTGACTAATTTACATTTACATTTTTATGGTGGGAGGACCAGATTGCAAGGAAGAGGGGGTGGGAAAAAAAGAGATATGATCAGCATCATCTTTTCGTGTTCTTAATTAAGAGCCTTGCTGTTCCCAAGAGTGCCATTTTTTTTGCCGGGAGTGGCCCGAGCTGCTTTGGCATCGTTTAAAATGTCCTTGGCGCACTTTCATGTGATTTATTTCTCATGTGTCACCGCTGTGATGAATGAACACCGAGGACAAAAACACTGCCATGTTTTTTATGCCCCTTAAGTGTTTGGTTGGTTGTCTGGAAAGCGAGTTCTGTTTCGACGGTGACAGTGGTTGCTTGAATGCGGCTGTCGCTCACATGTGAACGGGTGCAAATTCAGTCAAAATGCAGTCATTATTTGAATTGATATGAATAATTAATTGATCTCTTGCGTCATCGTTAGTTCATTTAATTGGCTGATATTAGCTCCTTAAAAATAATCGAAAAATGCTTTTTTGACTCTCTCTCTCTCTCTCTCTCTCTCTCTCTCTCTCTCTCTCTCTCTCTCTCTAATATATGTATGTATATTTATATATATAAATGTATATGTTTGTCCGAAACATAAACTTCAGGAGTGGTAATAATTGTGGCTCACATGACTTGATGTGGGAGGCCCGGTGCAGAGTTGCAGGGTTCGATTCCGGCTCCGGCCTTCCTGTGTGGAGTTTGCATGTTCTCCCCGTGCCTGTGTGGGTTTTCTCCGGGTATTCCGGTTTCCTCCCACATTCCCAAAACTTGTGCGGCAGGTTAATGTAACACTCTAAAGTGTCCCTAGGTGTGAGTGTGAGTGTGGATGGTTTTTCGACTGTGTGCCCTGCGATTGGCTGGCAACCGGTTCAGGGTGTCCCCCGCCTACTGCCCGAAGACAACTGGCATAGGCTCCACCATGCCCCGCGACTTTCGTGAGGATAAGCAGATTTTGTCCCCCCCACTGAATTAACGCTTGAATTAAAGGTTGCATTTAATTCTTGCCGATTAATGGTGTGTTGAAACAATGGCGGTGACATGACTCTGTGTGCTCTAGTGAGGGGATGCCGCCCGGGCAAGATCGTGCAGATGACCGAGGCGGAGGTGCGGGGCCTGTGCATCAAATCCCGCGAAATCTTCCTCAGCCAGCCCATCCTGCTGGAGCTCGAAGCTCCCCTCAAGATATGCGGTCAGTCTTCTGCCTCTCACTTTTTCCATTTTGTCTGCGTGCGCGTAACCTTCCAAGATGGCTGTGGTCAAAAAATAAATAAATAAAACTCCCAGAATGCCTTGCTTTGAGATGCGTGTTGCGACCAATTAAGTGTTGCCATCCTCTTCCCCCCTTTTTCCCCCCTCCTCTGGTAAAGTAAATGAGCAAAAAATAGTTGTTTTATTTCTTTAGACTAGTGTGTATTTTCACTTGCTTCTACATCGTTTTTGTCTGTACAGAGTCTACTTGCTCATACATGAGGCAAAGACCGCACTTTACCTCACGTCATGGGTGAATTGAACGCAAAGGTGAAGAAAAAAAAAAGTGTCCGCCGTATGTTTGAAATGTATTTTATTTGCGTTTAATTTGCTGATTCTTTCCTGCGCCACGAGAGCAAGCTTGCGTTCCGCATGTGGTCCCCATACCGCACTTTGGCAATCGAGGGGCGGGCTTTATGTGTATCTCCCCACAAATTGCGAGAGATGAGAACTCGACTTACAGGCGAGGTTAGCGTGCAGAAAGAAGCTTTGTGAGTATTGTGGGCTGCGCCACTGGGGAACTCCCACTCTGTACACACACACACACACACACACACACACACACACACACACACACACACACACACATGCAGTCTATTTCTTGTACTGCGGCTCTGAGTTGTCTTATGTAACCGGACCGCATCACAGAACGCCCGCCTGAGTGGCTCTCTTACTTACAATGTCTTCTCGTCGCTCCATACACTGAACGGAGGCACTCGGGCACGCCGTGCATTCCGCACAGCTCTTGAGTTTTCATCCATGTTCTTTGGTGGATGTCTTATCGGTTGCCAGTTAGAAACAAGGCCTCCACTTGAGGCCGTGCGAAGCCACGGCAGCCCATTCGGTTCCTTCTCCTCTTGCTGCTCAGGGACAGCAATGAATCAATTGTTCTTAAGTTGTTGTTTTTTTTTTAAATGTACAAAATTATTTTGTTCCACTAACAACATGGCTGTGAAAGGGATGAATAAAAAACCCCAGATCAGATTTCTCGTGATGATTTTCGTGCGTTGTCTCCCTCTTGAGCCACAGCTGCTCCTCGGCCATCTTATTACAGTTTGCCGGCGAAACAAAGATCACAGAAGATCCCCAAAAACGTTCTTCTCCAATCATTCATTTGCACAATTTGGGCAACGAAACAAATCTCCAGGAACGCCAAACCATTCTTTAGCACTTCTCCTATCATTCATTTGCCCTCAGTGTGTTTTTATGTTGAATACGTAGAAGGCAAAATAAGACGCTCCATTGCAGTCATGTCTCATTTCCATGCCAGAGGTGGTTTTCAATTTCGTCATGGTTATATTGTCGGGCGCCACATAATAGGAGAAGTCACGCAAGTTGCAATTTTCACCATTCCAATGCGTATGCAGTCATGGTGTAACTAGGCCTGTTATTAGTTTTTTTGTTGCTATTTTCTGGTGGATTGGTGGCAATGGCTCGATGGTTTGCCGGAGAGGCCCTGGCACACATTTTCGACCGCAACTCGGCCTGTTATTACCGTGCTGACCCGAAAGCAGGGTGCTCTGAGTCGGAATGAGAGCTGCTCTTACTTGGCGATATAAAAGGAATCGGGCCTTGGCCTGTTTGTTGTTGGATGAAAGGTACTCCTGTCGAGTCCCAGTTCCGGTTCTCTGGCCTTCCATTTGCTTTTTGCCATCACCGGAGCACTTGTTGTGGTGGCATGGGAATAAAGCCAAAGAAAAACCAAAGCACAGTTTTTGAGATAGAGGCGACCCACGCTAATCACGGGGGTTCGGGACCGCGGATTAAAAACGTTCAGTATCCGTTTGCCACGAAAAACGGAGGGAAAATGCGCACCAAAAAAAAAAAAAAAATCCTGTCATTGTAAAGGACTGTCATTGGAAAAATGATTTTCCACACGGTGTCGCGCACGATGGCCGCCGGATCCCCTTTTTGTGTCAAAAAAATGTGCCCCCCCCCCACGTCAAAACTTGTCGTCTGTTCTCATCAGGTGACATCCACGGGCAGTACACGGATCTGCTGCGTCTTTTCGAGTACGGCGGCTTTCCGCCCGAGGCCAACTACCTGTTCCTCGGCGACTACGTGGACCGCGGCAAGCAGTCGCTGGAGACCATCTGCCTGCTGCTGGCCTACAAGATCAAGTACCCGGAGAACTTCTTCCTTCTGCGGGGGAACCACGAGTGCGCCTCCATCAACCGCATCTACGGCTTCTACGACGAGTGTGCGTCCCAAGCGAAATGCCCCCCCTGCGTAATCATCTGAGTCTCGTTACACACAAAAATAACACTTGTGTATGCGCGCCCCAGGTAAGCGCAGGTTCAACATCAAGCTGTGGAAGACTTTCACCGACTGCTTCAACTGCCTGCCCATTGCCGCCATCATCGACGAGAAGATCTTCTGTTGCCACGGAGGTCAGTTCATTGTCGCGCAAGTGCACCGATAAAACGGTACAACTAAAATCAAGGAAAAGTGCTCAACTTTTTTTTTAAGTTAAAAAAGGAAGCGCTTTTGACATTTTAGGAGTTAAAAAACACTCACCATATGATGCGCAGTAGATTGCTCGTGCTAGATTACTCCACTCCGTTTGCGATTTTTTTTTTTTTTTGCCCCCCCCCTTCGGAAAAGTGCGCAAGATACGAATTGATTGAGAACTCGTTCACCGACATCAACACGAAAACGGATCGAGATTTTTTGGCGCGAGTTCAAGCTCTAGTGTTCTGTAAGATATATTAAAGTCATTTTATTGTTCATCGTCTGCCTTTACTTTTGGCTGCTTTCTGGCCGCTCTTTTTCACATGCATGGCGACAATACAAAAAGGGCCCATGGTAGCAAATTATTTGTAATGGTTATTTTGTTTTGTTTATTTATTTATTATTTTCTAGGACTTTCACCAGATTTGCAGTCAATGGAGCAGATCCGCAGGATTATGAGGCCAACAGATGTGCCTGATACAGGTAGTGTGTTTGTTTGTGCCTCTTCCATGAGTTGGAATCCAATTTAAGGGCGACCAAATTACAGGCAACCCTTTTTGAAGCCATCATTTTATTCTTTTTATGATTGGATTTTTTTTTTTTTTTTAACAGAATATATCAGACGTTAATTGAAAAGCATCTATTTCGTGGTAGTTACAACTAAGCCTGGGCATTGTGAATTTCAATTCTTTCGATTGCGATTGAATCCAATTCTTCTGGTTGTGGTTCAGGTTGATCTCATATATTTAAATATGTATTTAAATGCTCCGCTATTGATGCAAATGCTCCGATATTATTCATTGCAAAGTAAAAACAGAATGACACTGTACAGTCAAAGGTCCTTGCAAATGTAAGCGCGGCCATTCGATTGAATTCATAATTCGGGGCATTTACATATCATTCCAAATCGGCCCCTAAAAATATTAGGCCTACTCACATTGTAGTGTAGGGCAGTCAAAGACCACTGCAAGTTGAACAAAAGACCCTAGTGTCACCTAGTGGTGAATGGTGATATTACAACAAAAACAAAAATTGGCATATAATTGATGGCCTTTGAAATGTACAGGATTTTATTTATTTACATTTTTGGGAAAACCCCAAACATACATAAAAAAGGCCAATAAACCTCCAATATACATTTTCCATGAAAAATTTCACTTAAAACAGCTTTGCGTTTGTGTCTTTTCCTCATCTCCAGGCCTCCTCTGCGACCTGCTTTGGTCCGACCCGGACAAGGACGTGCAAGGCTGGGGCGAGAACGACCGCGGTGTCTCGTTCACCTTCGGCGCCGACGTAGTCAGCAAGTTCCTCAACCGCCACGACTTGGATCTCATCTGCAGGGCCCACCAGGTGAGCGGCGCTGGCCCCGGCCGGCTCTGCGCGGTGTGGGCGGTCTCTATATCCGTCGCCGTCGTAGGCGTTGAGAATGACCATGCTGCGTCTCCTCCGGCAGGTTGTGGAGGACGGATACGAGTTCTTTGCCAAACGCCAACTGGTCACACTGTTTTCAGCGCCCAACTACTGCGGGGAGTTCGACAATGCCGGCGGCATGATGAGCGTGGACGAATCGCTCATGTGCTCCTTCCAGGTACACACACACACACACACACACACACACACACACACACACACACACACACACACACACACACACACACACACACACTGAAGTGTCATGTTAATGTTTGATTGTTCATTTCTCTTGCTTAAAGATCTTAAAGCCCTCAGAGAAGAAGGCCAAATATCAGTATGGGGGGGTCAATTCCGGTCGGCCTGTCACTCCTTCCCGCACCACTCAGGCCCCCAAGAAGAGGTGAACATGCAACGGCCTTGTGAACCCCGAGAACCCCCACCCCCACCACACACACACACACACACACACACACACACACACACACACACACACACACACACACACACGCACATGCGCATGTGCACACACACGGTAATGCCGCGTAACCCAGATACAGTGGAACCTCCAAAGTTGAAGTTAACATTTTTTTTTTCAGCTATTGTTCCCATCGTATATCGTCTAAAATGTATTCATGAATCCAACTCTGACGATATTGCCCAAGTGTCGTGAGGTGTATTTACGTTAGCCTGGTTATATTTTTAATGCTGTGTAATGTAAATTATATTTGTTGACTTGGCGCTCATTTTGTGCTGAGCAGACGGACGCTTGCCCTGCGTGACGGTGAGAGTAAGTTTAATTTGTTGCCTTGTATCATGACAATATTTTTTATTATTTTTATTAAATATAATGGGAGAGGCTCAAAGAACTAAAGTCTCTTACATGTACTCCTTTTTAGGTTCCACTGTACTAAACTCAATTCTTTCCACTGACGCCCCCCCCCCCCTTCTTCCATTGACAGATTTTTCTTTAACATGCACGCATACCTAAATTAGCTGTGAGCAATCTGTTTATTTACATTTCTATTGTTTGCCTGTGTGTTAATATTTTGATGGTGTTAATACACTGTTGTGGGAAAAGGGGGTGGGGGGGGGGGATAAAATGCTTATTTTTTTATTTTCCTTGAAAGACATAAAAAACCGAATTAGTGTCATTTTGCCGAGTTTTATTCCCACAGAAGCGTATCAGCGTGTATTTCAGTACATCTATTTCCGGTGAGTTGGAAAGAATGTGAAGGGACCGGCATTTATGAAAGGATTGAACTTCTTGCCCTCCAGACATACATTCCACTGTGCCTCCATTTTTTTAAAAGTTCCACAGACACAGTGGAACCTCCGACGTCGCCAATATTAACTGCCGCAGAAGTGACTGAAGCCAACCGCCAAGGACACATTCAAAACCTTCAAAGATAACACGAATATCTGTACCATGAGCAATCTGTAGTCGGTCACAAGAGATCCAAATTAAAGTTCATAGTTCACAAATTGGTCAATCCCGGCGTTCAACTTTGGCGGTTCCACTGAACGTATTTTTGTTTGTCATATCAGATATACACTCAACCTCTTTTTTTTTTTTTTTTTTTCTATATTGTAACATGACAACAAATTCATAGAATTTTTCACTGATGGTCAGTATTTTTACTTGATTATTTTGAATAGAGATGTGCGTCGTGTGTGGCATGTCCATGCTTTTTCTAGAAGTGCTTTAAACCAGCTTGCGGATTTCCTGTTGGTGTTTCAAAAGAATATTAAATGGTCAAATGAGTCGTGCGTGATGATTGGGAGCTTCGAAGCCAAGAATTGTCCATCCGTCCCGTTCCTCCTCCTCCTCCCACCATCGTTTTGGTGTATGATGACTGGCAGAGTGGGAGTGGGCATAGGCTGGCATCTGACCTGGCATTGCTATTGTGATCGTGACGCCACCTGGTGTTTAGATGCGGTGTACTACAGTGTATCTCTCGGCTCTTTGGGGCATTCTTCTATCTGGTTGTTTTTGTTTGTTTGTTTTTTCCTCTATTCGCACACTTGACATTTTAATTTATTTCTGAATGACGATGACGACACATGAAATGAGTGAGGTGTTAACCCAGGTTTGCTATTTGTACGAGTTTGAAAGTCAATAAATGGATGGAAACTCAGTCGTTAATTGTGGATTCTCCTTTTTTTAATGTTTTGATGTTATGATAGAATAAATGCAAAACGTTCTCAGAGGGCCAGTCGCAGAATTTTTTTTCATTTACAATGTATGATAAATACATGAAAATAAAACGTTAACCGCCCAAACTCAGTTGAGATGCTGTGGCATGACCTCAAGAGAACAATACACATCTAGAATCTTGCTGAACTACAACAGTTTTGCGCTGCAACATTCACTCTCATCATTGTGCAACGACAGGCAATGTTTGATTAGGTTTCATGATAAGAAGGCTTCACTTGTTTGTTTTTTCCTCCGTCCTGTGAATGTTTATCAAGTTCTATAAAAATATGAAAATATACACAATTTTTTCTTAATTCTTGTGAGTTAGATGATCAGACTACAATTAACAAATTTTAATGAAGAAATGTAAGAAATTCCGTGCTGCAAGTGTCATTCAACCCCTGGACGAAGGGGGCAGTGTTTATACCTCTGTACGAAAAGTAGCTTCATCTACGCTGATATACATACAAAATGGATGCCTCACTTGATCCTCCTCATCCACATCCATGTTGTTCTTAAATCTGCTTTCCAAGCGGACCAACCCGAGGTGAAGTGCTGCGTTTGCACCATCGTGTCCGGATGTTATTGCAAAAGAAAAAAGAAAAAGACTGTTATGAGCAAAGAAATGTAATTGGTAATGCACTATTTCAAAAGTTTATCTCGTCAAGAGTTACGCCAGGAGGAATGAGGCCAGATTCGGAACATGCTGTGGCGTAACCGTCGTCTTCTTGTGCCTTCTCGGCTGCGGTGACTCGACCGAAGTTCAATGTAGGTAAGAGTTGACGCCTGCTCCGTAACAATTAGCTATTAGCTTGCCGTTAGAATGACTAGGAGACCTGTTTGGTGGGTCTTTCGGGTGGGCAAGTAACAGTCCAGTTACTAATATACTTTCCGCTAGTGTCAAATGGTTTTCAAAGAAAGAAGATGTTCTCGTGTATTTTAATTGAATGTTTGTGGTTTACTGTAATCGCAACACTCCCAACGATTGAGAATTATATCGTTTGTTTTTTTTTTTTTTTTTTAAACCGCTGTGTGCTAGTCCCAGTGAGTTTTAAACATTATTATCATTATAATACTTAATTCGCTTCCTCTTTCGATTATCAGTCAAATCAGTCTGCGGAGTGGACTGGGCGTCAGTTGACCAATAGCAGCTCTTGAACAAATGTGCAACCTCCTGACTGCTCGAGGAAATAAATCGACTGAAGAGCCTCGGCGACTGTCATCGTTTGAGGCATTGGAGTTCGAACCTTTGACAGTATACTGTCGCACACGAAGAATCAGCACAATTCCACCCTCAAAGGCATTGTCATCAACGATCGCTTTCTTGAACGTGAGGTTGATGGTTAGATTCTGGCTTTGGCCTTCCAGTGTGGAGTTTGCATGTTCACTCCGTACTCTGGTTTCCTCCCACATTCCAAAAACATGCATGGCAGGCTGAGTGAACACTCTAAATTGTCCCTAAGTGTGATTGCAAGCGTGAATGGTTGTTCGTCGATTTGTGTCCTGCAATTGGCTGGCACCCAGTTCAGGGTGTACCACGCCTACTGTCTGAAGACAGCTGGGATAGGCACCAGTACACTTGTGAACCTCGTGAGGATAAGTGGTTTTAAAAATGGGTAGACGGATGGATGAATCTGCATGCTCTTATCATTGCGGCTGACTGCTTCCTTCTGCCCTGAAGCTAAACAATCCAGGTTAACAAGCTATCCATCCATTATCTGAGCGGCTGATCCTAAAGAGGGTTGGCCGTGTTGGAGCCTATCCCAGAACAAACTTACTCAAAGTGTAAATTTATTTTGACTCGTTCTTGTCTAAAAAAAAAAAAAAAATCGACATCCAGACTTTCAATCTTGAGGCAACAAAATGCCGCGTGGCCACTGCAGAATGAGTGAAGAGGTGTTTTACAATTCCTCTCCGACCATTCAAGAGAGTTCATTCAGTTATGTTTGTTCTCGAGTTATTTTCACAATTTTAAATGCACAAAAAAAAAAGAATTAGATGGTGACAGACGAGCAGCATCATTTTATGAAAAAAATAATAAATTGAGCTCGTGTGGACATACAATGTTTCCCAACAGTGAGAATTAATGACACAAACTGATTTTTAAAACCTTTAAAAAAAAGCAGCAATTCACATGAAAAATTACAGTCTCTCGCCATACATAGCTCAAACTGGCCAAAAAGAAGCTCAAAGGTTAGTAAAGTCAGACAACGGAAAAAAAGCAGCAATTCACATGAAAAAAAAAATACAGTCTCTCGCCATACATAGCTCAAACTGGCAAAAAAGAAGCTCAAAGGTTAGTAAAGTCAGACAACGCATCAGGGTTATGATTGGCAATTCAAAAAAATTTCAAGGGGTTCACATTCATTATTGGCAGGTTTTTATTTTGTTTGTTTGTTTCATATTTGTTCTCTCTTCTTCTCCCAGCTCTTCCATTCCCACAATGAACTGTGGCACATTCGGTGAAGAATGCCCCGGTTCCGACGTAAGTCATGTGTGGCATTGTTGGCTCTTGCCCTGCTGGTGCTCATTGTGACCTTCGCGCTTAAGTCGCTCGCCCCGGAAGACACGGCGTTCACCGACGGGAAGGAAATCTCCCCGTACTGGAAACACGACGCAAAGAAGACCGAGGTCCAACATGAGCGGCCCAGGATGAGCAAAGCTGCCCGGCCGGAACCGGACGAAAAATTGATGGCCACGCTGAGCAAGTTCCCTCCACCAAACTACTACCTCCACGCCTTCTACTACATCTGGTATGGCAACCCCAGCTTTGACAGCAAGTACATCCACTGGGACCACCTGCCTTCCGGGTTGTAAAACATGATCGACTTCCCATGGCAGAAACTTTTGTGGTTGTATGTCCAGACAACCCCCAAAAGGTAATTTACCAAAAACAAAATATTCACAATCTAGTGGAACCTGCCATCCATCCATCCATCCATTCATGTTCTGATCCGCTTACCCTCACAAGGGTTGGGGGGGGGGGGGTTGCTGGAGCCCATCCCAGTTGCCTTCAGGCAGTAGGCGGGGGACACCCTGAACCGGTTGCCAGCCAATCTCGGGGCACACAGAGACGAACAACCATCCACGCTCACACTCACACCGAGGGACAATTTGGAGTGTTCAATCAGCCTGCCATGCATGTTTTTGGAATGTGGGAGGCAACCGGAGTACCCGGAGAAAACCCACGCAGCCCCGGGGAGAACATGCAAACTCCACACAGGTAGGCCAGAGCTGGAATTGAACCCGGTATCTCTGTACTGTGAGGTCGTCGCGCTAACCACCGGCCCACTGGGCCGCCCTAGTGGAACCTGTGGTTGAATTTCATAGATACATCTGATGAAATCAACACATTCTTGCATTTTAGTGTTTTGAGTTCACGCCACTCAAAATGATCAATCGCCATTGATCGATTTACCATGCTGCGCACTTTTGTTTTTTTTGTTTTTTACATCAGTTTAAATCCTTCAATAAGGAATGGCTTGAACAAGATATAAAGACCAGAAAATGTCAAATATTAAAGTTAGATTTTCTAGGGGCAAAAAAGTAATTACACTGAACAAATGTTTTCTTAGAGGCTTAAATAATACAGTATAAAGATGCTAAATATGAAATAATCACTGATACTTATCGTTTTGTATCATAAATAGAGAGCCAGTGCCCTGTAAATAATTTTCCCGACTGTTGAACCCCAAATAGGTTGGGGTTCCCTTGCATACACGATTGTAAATAACTTCCACAAGTCAATTTGACCAAGCGGGTGCTAATGTAAGTAGCATGTCATCAAAATGACAATACAAGACTTTCATTTTTTGGAACTATTTCTTCTCCAGGTGTCATCGCCGTTTCCTGGTACCCGACTGACACCAAGGATGACAACGGCGAGCCCATTGATGACATCGTGCCTCTGCTGCTGGATGTGGCCCAGCGCTACTCTATTAAGGTCTCAAAAATGGCGGCAATGACCGTTTGCTTGTTGTTTTACTATCTCGCGTTTCGTTTGTTGTGTTGTGTTAAGGGTTGCGTCATTCCAGCAATTCTCATAGTTGGGAGGTTCGTTCATATGCGGTATGATTTTGCTGTTGTCTCTCCTGGCATTCAAAATAAAGTCAATCTAAGGTCTCGGATTTGCCGACAGGTGGCTTTCCACATCGAGCCATACAAAGGGAGAGATGAAGTCAACATGTACGCCAACATCAAATACATCATTGACAAGTAAGTCCAACATCGTAACATTTGGATTTATTCTCTCGTGTTAGTTGATATTTTGTTCGATGTCGATTTTTGAAAAAAGATTGATGCTCACTTTCCCTAAGTTCCAACAATGTCCTTTGCTCACCTCCTCTCCGAAGGTACGGCGACCACCCGGCCTTCTTCCGGTACCGCACCGACACGGGGAAGCTCCTCCCCCTGTTTTACGTGTACGACTCGTACCTGCTGAACACGGAGCAGTGGGCCCGCCTGCTGCGTCACACGGAGAGCGGCAGCATCCGCGACACCCCGCACGACGCCATCTTCCTGGCCCTGCTGGTCGAGAAGAGCCAGCAGCGCGAGGTGCTGAGCGCCGGCTTCGACGGCGTCTACACCTACTTCGCCACCAACGGCTTCACCTACGGCTCCACGCACCGCAACTGGGAGGCCGTGCGCGCCTTCTGCAATGACAACGGCCTTCTCTTCGTCCCGAGCGTGGGGCCGGGCTACGTGGACACCGGCGTGCGCCCGTGGAACTTCCAGAACACCAGGAACCGCATCAACGGCAAGTATTACGAGACCTCGCTGAGCGCCGCGCTGGAAGCCAAGCCCGACTTGCTTTCCATCACATCCTTCAACGAGTGGCACGAGGGCACGCAGATCGAGACGGCCGTGCCCAAAAGCAGCCCGACTCTCTATCTGGACTATTTGCCCAACAAGCCCACCATCTACTTGGAGATTACGCGGAAGTGGGCCGCCATATTTGGCGGTGAGCGCAGGAGACGGCGGGAGTGATCCGCCTGGAACTTCATTGACGGCAGTATGCAAATGAAGAACATCTTTCCGTTGACTGCGATTTGTGTGGGCGGGGGGAGGGGGTCGGGTGGAGACAGGGTCCAAGCCGTAAAAGTGGTATCTAATTGGGTATTAATGCCACAAGGTGAAGGCATAGCTCTTGAAACAGAACAATCATAAAGCAACAACACCATGCATCAAGATTGTATACAATCGTGAACCCTGGTACATACACTGTATTGACTAGTTAAATTTTCCAACACAAACTACCTTCATGAGCCTCTTTAGTAATGTAGCTTAAATGACACACTTGCACTCATTGATGTGACATCATCATACATGGGCAAACAATATAGAGATTTTTCTTAGTAGGTTTTTTTTTTTCTCAACTATGTATTAGCCTGCAGCTGTACAGCAGTCCCTCGTTTATCGTTGGGATGACCTTCCAGACGCCCGGCAGTCGATGAAAATTCAAGCATCATGCACAACACCAATACAAAATATGCACGTGAGGCACAGGTATTACCATCCTCCCCTTCTACGCTGTAGCATCTGTGAGTTTGAATGTGTGTAACAACCTTCACATCGAGGCCCGGCCTGTTGAATGACATGGGAGGCAGTGTATGAGAGTGAAGTCGGCTACTGTTAGCTCAGGTTAGCCGTCCCGGAAATTGTATTAAAGGTGGGTTAAGGGAAAGGCACTCTGCCTCGCTACCCTCGCGGTTAGGAGAAGTTGATGACCCAGAGTTCTGTTTCGAAAAATTGGCTTGATCTATCCTATAGTAGAATATTTGTTAGGGATTAAATATTTGTTATGTTATTGACTCGATGGGCGTGTGCATGTGGTCATTCCTGAGCCCATGAACGAGCACCCCGGAAATCCACCAAGGTATTTGATTGTTGGTAAAATAGTCTGGAAATTCCGCCTTCAATGGATGGGTTTCTTTTGTTCCCATTTTGTTCAATAAAGCAACTGAAATTGCAGCGGTGGCTGTGTCGATCCTTGACATAACTTTTATTGCTTTTATATGTCTGATTTTTGTACTTTTTAGAGAGCATTTTGTATGCAGCAGTTTTTTTAAAGTCCTATATAAGGTTGTGGTTGAGCGTGGCTTCAGTTTACTGTTACAGCTAAACATGCAACAAAACTAATTACTCGCACTGAAATTCTTTGTTTTAGAAACTGCCAGTGCAAAAGCTGAATTGCCAAGGCTAATCCTTGCAGTGAATGGAAAGTCCTATTGACTGGCAAAAAAAATCAGCATTTACTTGTGAGTTCTTCAAATTATAAATACTCTCACACACACACGTGGTAGTAACACAAACAGACAGGTAAAATAGCAATAACCAAACGTGTATATTTGTCCTAATCTGTGAAAAATGAGGCACATTAATAATGCTCAAGCGTGACTACTCTTCTAACATGATGTATCTCCATACATCCACGGCACAACACTGCCCCTCGGAGGCCAAGGTGTGCACAGCAGGAATTTTAATGCGGTTGTTTTTTTTTTTTCTATGACTTTCAATATATTTTCATTTTACATTTTTTTTTAATTTCACATATTTTTCTTTCAAGTTATATTTTGAGTTTTGGAAGGTGAATAGCTACTTTGAAATTTCAGAATAATTCAGTTTATTGATCGTAATTTCAATATCAATCGAAAAGAATTTATTCATTCATTTTCCGATCCGCTTTCTCCTCACAAGAGTCGCGGTCACACGGTGCGTATCCTCATAAATATACATGATTTCATTCTCTCTCATTTTTAATCACAAAAAAAACAGAAACAGGGAGGGATGTGGAATCATTTTGTATCCACTGCGTGCCCCGATAACATAGGTGTCAAACTCAGGTCCTGGAGGGCCGCTGTCCTGCATGTTTTCCAAGTCTCCCTGTTGCAACACACCTGATTCAAATGAACAGGTTCGATGTCAGGCTTCCGCAGAGCTTGCTGATGATCTGATCATTTGAATCAGGTGTGTTGCAACAGGGAGACTTGGAAAACATGCAGGACAGCGGCCCTCCAGGACCCGAGTTTGACACCTATGCCCTAAAACAATGAATACAAACGCAGGGACCGTGGAGCACCGCAGTGGCGATAAACAGAACAAGGTGGCGAGCCTGCACATCACTACACGGCCGCACACGCACATGCGCACAGTAGAGCCTCCCAGTGGCGATAAACGGAACAAGTTAGCGACCTGCACGTCACAACTCAGCAACACTCACACACGGCGGGCGCACATGCACCGAATTACGTTTTTTTTAAAACATGTAAATTTACTGCTGCTGCCTGCTGCAGCATCCAGTGCGTATTGCACGCTTTAACAAGGTGCAACCCCCGCGCGCACACACGCACGTACACACACACACACGCTGAAGAAAAAGGATAGATGCGGCTGGTCCGGATGTGGTGACGCTCACACGACGGTGGATGATTCCAACCACATCGTCGTCATGCGAATGCAATGACTGGAAGGTCTCTCGAGATGGTGAGTACAATTCCTTTTATTTGCCTTCACCCCCACCAACACCCCCGTATCAATTCATGCAGAAAATAAAAGCGGCATTTGCGGTTCAAACACGCCGTTTTGGATGTGAGCGATTGGGTGGGGGGGTTCGCGCACGTCCAGCGGTTGGCCAGAGGTAGCCGAATCGCGCCGAACGCGGCTCGGGTGACGGCGGCATCGCGTCGGCCGCGAATGACCTTCAGCTCCGCATCGGAGCTGCGTGCATTCGCGCCGGTGCGGACGTGACGGGTTTCGGTGCGGTGGACGTGAGAGAGCAGCGCTTCGTAGTTGTGGTGATGTGCACTTGTGCAGCTCGCCTTCGCCTCTCCAACCAACCGTGCATGGCCCAAATAGATTTCACCACAAAGGCACTGGCTATAGCGCAACATCACACATCATCACAACACTCAATGGACACCAAAGTGAGGGGGGTGGGAGCAAGGCGGGTATTGGAATGCTGTCAGATGAGGAAAGGAGAGG